GAAATACGCCCACGCTAACATGCACCTGCCAAGCACACCTGGAGTCTAGTAAATACGACCGGCCCTTCCGTGTACTTTGCCTTCTTAAGTAACTCTATACTTGCTACACTCTTAGTACACAAAATTTGTTTATGCTAAGTCGGCATACTTAATTTTCTGTCGGATCGGCCAGCTAGCAAAAAAGTTGATATGGTCTCGAGCACTAGTTTGATTTTTTTGTTGTTATTCGATATAAAACTTTAGGACGTTGTACCTGGAGAGGAGAAATTGTATGCAACTCGCAATCCCGTGGAACCCCAGGGACGTATAATATTGCCTTCGGAGCTGCCCTTTTTTTATCAGTTAGGAAGTGCGTACATTGAATTGCAGTAAACTAAACTCAAATAAATGATATAGATACGTCAGATAATACCCTCTCTAATTGCTTATAAATATTTTGTAGAATATAACGAAATAAAATAAATATGTGTTATGCATGCTTTCTGTGCTGCTATACCTCAGCTATGTCACATTTTCAACATGACATCTGATGATTGTCTTCTTCTGAGGGGGGTTTGGAGATGAAGATGTTGTGTATGATTTGCCGTTTGTTCATTATACTTTGCTGTGATAGATCAACCTACACGAAAATTACGTCTTATTGATAATTCTTGTGAACCTGAGCATGTTTTCTGCTTCATCGTAACTCTGGCGATATATATATCCTGTACCACTAATTTTCTATATAAAGGGACAAGGTCGTGTTCAAGTAAAGAATTCCTGCGTTGGTACTATTACGTCGTCATTATCACTGGCGGCCGTGAGAGGAAAGCGGATCGTCAGAGTGGTAGGCTATCTAATTCGAGGACAGATAGAGTGGTCGGCCAACTAGCAAGGCTAAAGTCTATGGTAGTGTCGTTAAATGTAAAGGAAGTCGCCATCGAAACTACTATTTCTTGACTGGACGGTTGCAGAAGAAGTAGCGAGATGCGCGCTTGTGCGCGTCAGCGAACATAGCCCTAACAATCGAAGTTAATTCTGTAATAGATCTGGTTATAAATCTGCAAATAGAGCAGGTATTGCGTAGTTACCATGGCAACTGGGCAATATTGGGGATAATGACATAACGTCGTTGCAGCAAACCCGGGATGACCATTAACCGCGATCCATCAGCGCGAGCACGGGTCATACCAGTAATCCTAGGCATTTTTGTCGCTGTTGCTATACAAGGAGGACGTTCAGCTCCGAAACATTTCTATATAAGTAGTTCCGAATTTTGTGTCCGGTGCTGTTATGAAACTTTAGTCAGACTGCCCTCCAACAAACGTACCAACGTTCTGTCTCTAGACCACCTCACGTGCTTCTCGGCATATATATATATATAAGGTGCGGTACCTAAAAGGGTGCTTTTTCTTATACTTTCTAAGATTGAATCTAAATCGAGATAGCGGTTTCTTTTTGGGTCTTAAAACGCTAACCCGTCATTTTCAAAATTTTTCTTCTTAAATCCATAAATGACTTTCCAACAATAGCCCTGCCTGCGTCTACCGATATTGGTACGTACAGAACTTGTTTACGTATCGTTCAGGTATACTATATAAAGAAAAATGCTAGTGGCATTGAATTTTATGCTGGCAGCAGATGAAAGGTACAAAAAATGTAAATAATCAACATGGCTAAAAGGTTCGAAGAGCAAAAGCTCAATACCTTGTAAAACTTACCTGGGCCACCCAATTACGACTCGATATAACGGCCTTAATTTTTATAAGTTCATGTGTGCGTTTGAGCTTTTTTGGTGAATATTCGGGCCCTTTAAATGTAAAATATATATTGAGGGTCCCACGGTTTACGTGACAGAAATCTTCCCCGAACTTTTCATGATCTGCCGGAAAACTGGCAATAACATAAATTGTCAAGTTTCAGTAAAAACAATTTTTAATATTGGTGGGGTAAAGTGAAAGAAATAGATAAGAATTGTATTTGTTTAAATATACAGTTTTCGACGATGATGAGCTTATTCTAAAGAGAACGGGTTTTTCTCTAGTACCAAGAGTCGCGGATGCGTACATGCCCGTGACGACGAACAGCCTGCGACGGCCTGCCATAAGTTAGGTACTGCGCTCTGTATATAAACGCAGTGTTCCAAAGAAAGTATACAGAGCTCAAACAATTAAAAAATCAATATTTTGATATGGTCAACATTTAAATCACAAGGAAATCTACATGAAGTGCCGTTACCGCACGCATTTAAAGGTCACCCTTCTGCTCAATACAGTTGTTATTGATTGACATAAACTTTAACAAAAGTTGTATTTAAGTTTAGCCTCTTAATCTTAAGGCGTGAACGGCTTACAGTGTATCATTGGCAAAAAACCATTAGTATGAGGTGTAGAATATGTTAGGGGACCTATTGGTCCGACCCGTCTATTTGGATTTTTTTTTTTTGTTTGACGTCGATAGTGTGCACGTGCCTCTGTTGGAAGTAAAATTCGTAATTTTTGCAGTGCGTAATCTAACAAATTTCGTGATAAATTATGGCTAGAAAAATAATGGTTTCATCAACATCTCGCTTAGATTGCATTGGTAAATTCACATGGTTTTCCTGCGGTAATGTGTGGATTTAAGTAGCTTTGTAACTACAACTTCTGCCGATTATTTGCGCCATTAATTGATAAATTTAAATCATTGTCCCGATAACTCTGCGTCTTGTTCACATTTTACTAAACATCTTCTTCAAGATTATCTTTCTCAAACCGAATTAGGTCCGAACATCGAATTGCTAGAACGTAACCCTTTTATTTACATCGTCTTGAAATGAGACAGACAACTGGTGTTTTGATGTCACGCTTATGACTTATTTATCTCGCAGCTATGTCGGATGTTTTGCTAGAACTCTTTTGGCTGGTGAAGGCCGTTGATGTTCTCGATCTTCCGTAACTTCATCTATGAAAATTCCATCCGTTTCAAATTTATCTTTTATCTGATTAATTTTAAACCTTGTAGCTCGATCTGCCTCCGACGCTGTATTTGTACTTCTACTATAATGTCAATTTTTTTTTTCTGCTCAAAAGTCCACTTATAATTTCTAATTCTTTACGAGGAAGAATAATCAGAAAGGTTATGATCTATCTAAAATTTTTTGGGATACCCCTCACCATTTAACTTCAAACAACACACTCTACGTGACTTGATCGAGATAACGTGGCGTTAATCCTCTTTCGGAATAGCAAAGATGGGATATAATGAATAAAAAGGATTATTCAGTCAAGCCGAAAGAAAAAAAGCTGTTGCTTCTATGACTGATCATAGCATTCGGCTTACAACACGGCTTCAGCTCATGGGTTGCTGAAAGGGGCTGTAAATAATAGCACACCTCATTTGTTTTGAACTCCCAAACAGAAATGGTCATAAAGCTGCGTATTGTTATTATGTAACGAGCGTTCCAGCTGTATCTACTCAAGCACTTGGAGAATCGTCCGTTGGCATTGTCTGCATCGTAGAACCGATTATATTGCCCAGACTTAATCCAATGCCTATTCTCTGTGCTGTGGACCTAATGTACACATAGTGGGCTGGCCTAGTTGGCCGTCGTGCACCTAAGCCAGCGCATGTTTTTGTTGAAACTGGACAGCCTGAATACACAAACAAATCTTGGACCAATAAACAAATAATGTTCATCGCCGCTGTGTCTGTTAAACGAATTAACTATAGCGAAGTACTTCAATGGAACATAAGCTTTCCAAGTAGGCGAAGTAGGAGAAATCGTCCGGTCGTTTAATTTCGAACACTACGACCGAACGAACGCCAGAATGAATAATGGAACCATTTCATTCTATCCGGAACTGAAACGTTCACGTTGAACAAACATATCATCACTACGGAACGAAAATCACGAAAGCGCCAAATGCATTAGAGAGCTGGTTATCTAGAACGTTAAATGCTTTTTGCAGATATCACACTTAATATAAACAGACAAATACGGACTGTTGAATAACTTAGAAGATAGCATATTAAAACAGAATCCTCGCTTCAACCGAAAATAGCGGTCCTATCGACAATGATTTTTCAGTTTATTTCCCTCTTACGTTTTTACAGAACTGTTCGTGGCTCGTTACCCAAGGCGGCCTTTACGGCTTCAGAAATATCCGTCGTGAGGATACGGCATGTGCGCCTATTTCGCATCCTTTAATAACTCATACAGCAGACAATGTTGCATTTATTAGGTTATAATTTACTGAAAATGATTTCAATAACTGTGTGTGTTAAGAACGATACGCACATAGAACGGATCCTGAAGCTCACATAAGTTCTATAACCTACGTATAGAATGACATAAATAAGACATAATAAAATGTAAACAGTTAACAACCAGCAAATGTCTGTTCTATTTCGTTGCATTCACACAATGCGCCAAAGCTAAATACGGTGACCTAAATACGTCGTATTATTTCAATTGTGTGTAACAGCGAACTACGAAGGCAGGACATAACCTTAATATCGCATTTTCCATTTTCAGGGTTCATTCGTTTTCTTGTTGGATCATATTAGCGCAACTCGTAAGGCTGAAATTTTTAGTTATCATCTTCTCGAGAGATCCTCAGTATCTTTAATCAACAAAGAGGCCATTGGAGTACACACTTCTTTGGGCGACCTCCTTCACGAGGTAACGTTTGCTTTCAATAGCTGTCTTTCGTGGTATTTTGTTTATTTGCCTTTGCCCCCTAAAAACTTACAAGTCTATGGGCTGCGGTCTAATCTTGAAAAAAGCTAGCGTCAAGTACAGAAAGCGGCATACTCTCTAATAAGGTTAGAGACCCCATCACTAATAGTCTTCCTCAGCATACGAATCAAAATCCTCAAAGCCACCTCAACGTATTCTGGAGCGAAACAAGGAAAATACAGACTTCAAAACGTTTTTGGCTTCGGGAGACAGTTGTTCATTCTCTCATTGACAGTAACATGACCCACGGTGCCGTACGTTGACAACGTTGGTAATCGCTTGACGATATTATTGTCAAATAGTTAATAGGCAAGGTGTTGCGCTTCATGCTTGCGGTGGCGAGAGATAGCTTGGACAGTCACCGTAACTTCACCTGAAACAAAATGCAGGGGTTATAGATTAATACACGCACCAACTCGACGATATGGGCTCAGTGACCACACGAGTAGGTATCTAGGGCGGTCATTTTCAGAGCACATCTAACTAATATAAAAACTCTCGATCAGTAAAAGGTCCAAACCCAAATATTTAGTTTGTAAGTTGTAGAAGTAACTGCAGTCGAACACTAGCAGAACCATTAATATAGTTAGCCCATGCTGGCAGATTGTTCATAATGCATGCGATTAGGTTAGGCTCACAAGGAAAGTCGCCTTAAAACAGTTCTTGTTATTGGGTAAAACGCTTAATAAATACTAGTTATCGATCAGCTACTCGACCTCCGCCTTGCACTCCGGCCAATTATAGGTTCGGATACAGGTTACATTTCTTACAATTACAGGTTCTTGCACTCCGAATAATTCAGGTTACACTTCCAAAGTCATTCCAAACGCCTGTCTTTCAGGGTTAGCGGTATTCGTCTCCTCAATTCTATACGGCAGTTACCATTTTCCCTGTCATAATCTGCTTAATCTTATAATAACCAGTTGTAAAAATGTTCCCTTCTTCGTTCCATACAATAACTTTCTAGCCTTTGAGTCGACCTATAGTTAATATCATAAAGGGTAAATATCCAAGTAAATGCGTTTTGAGAAATGTACTAATAAAAGCAAAAGCCGAGCCAGTTGGCATTTATTCACGTTGGACGTTGTATAAGATACTGTAGGATGAAACATGCCTTTACTAGATTACTCAAAGCGACTATCTGCAGGCGTGTAACTGAAACAAGGCGGACGGCTAACCAAATATTTGTTTTCATCAAGGATTTTATCTTTGATTTATATTGCCACCCCTGTGCCCTCAAACACCCCTATCTGTGTAAATGCAATTCGGTCCAGTTCGACTATTCTAAGTAAGCCATTAAGTGAAGCTCGACTATGGAGGCTCGTATACGCGTTGATCGATTGCGAACTTGTCTGCTGTCATAAATATTCATGATTAGCTCGCATTGCCTAAGAAGAGTTGGATACTTGCCTGTAAACACATTGGCAACAATGAAAATCTACCCGAGGCGTGGGACGTTTGTCCAGAAGGCATCACGCAACTTGATTAGTAGCTCTAAGTTATGCAAAGTAAAGCAAAGGCAATTTTTCATAAGGCTCAGTGAATTTAAGTGAAGGGTCGCCGCTTACTAAAAAAAAAAAATTGGTAGCCTCTTTTTCGAAGGATCTACGAAATAAGTATATATAAAATCGTAGTTGGCATACCGTTAAGGCAGCAAAGAACAACTGACGTCGAGCCGATGGCATGTACCCGTAGCTGTTTAGTCCAACAAACGCTAGATGGCCAAATCGGACCACTTTGAAATCTGCTTACCCATATATTACGCTTGCTCCCAACACCCTATATCATCCGATAAGCTCTACATGTTTGTAGACAGTATATAATGGTATGATACCAATCAAACTCGAAAAAGAGACGGATTTATTTTTCCAAGCAGAACAAATATTTACAGCTCAATAAAGTACAAAAAGTCGAATTAAAACATGTTTTTTAGTGAAACGCCCATGACATGACCCCAAAGATGTCCACATAGCATATTACCCCGGGTCAAGCGGAGAAAATAATTCCCATTTGATATTGCGCATCTTGTTTAGGGTAAATAGTTGTTTTCGAACATGTCATCAGGAAGAACGGTGGCAATATCTATAACTTTGTACAAAGTTGGCTATATATATAATATGCTACAATTCCAATCTACATAGAACGTGGCCCTCTACACAAGCATGTTTACCTCATTTTTTATTTACAGATGTTTCAAATGATTTCTCTCTTGGTCAGTGGTATCTCAACTTCGGCTTTTAAATCTTTCACTGCGTCACTACAAGGGTTTCTGGCGTACACATTCTGTTTGAAGTGTTCCGGGACTTCTATATCGAATCCATCTTTTTGGAAACATTCTCATCAAAATATTGTATGGCATCCCTATATAGCATGTAGGTTCACAGTTGTTCAGTAAATCCATCGCTTCAAATAGTCTTTCCCAAAAAGCTGTGCGTTTTGTTTACACTTTCTCATGTGCCATAAGCAAAGTTGTTTTATTCGGTCAGGATGATCCTTAAGTAGCCTTTACGTATTATAACTTTTCCATTTGCACCATCCTAAAATGCTATAGAGACTTCACTTGAGTTGTTGATGTCAATCAAGTTCACAAATCGATTATTTCACAGAGTTGAGAGATTTTGCATAAGATTGATTGGCCATATCAGCAGGGAGCCATGCACTGGCCTTTATTAGTGGGTAGAACTCGTTCACGTTTTACGTCCCTGAACATCCTAAACAGTTCCATCCGCTTCAAACTTATCTTTTGTCCGATTAATTTTAAAATACGTAAGCAGACCTGTTTAAAGCTCTTTACAAGATTGTCCTTGTGCTCCTGTCGCATTGTCTCCTTGTTTCCACTCGCATTTTTTTTAATCAAATTTTTTGCTCAAAACTTAATATTTTCCTATTGTTATTATGATTATTATTACACTCTGAAAACAAAAAACACTAAAAAAAGTTATAACCCCTCAAGCGGTCTATACGTTTTTTGGACACCCTGAACATATATATATATATGTTCAAATAGGCAAGCAGAATACGACCATATATATAAATTGTAGGGTAGTTAGTCAAGCCTCGTAGTTAATACTCATACCTTAGACCTTCAAGTCACCAGCAACCGTGACAAAGCGGAAATAGATACATACTTTCTATTTAGCCCGTTGTTCTTTAAAAAAATGAAAAAACTTTTCAGACTCTTCTGTTTCTCTACATAACGATGTTGCTGGAAGGTTTTTGTTTTCAACCAGAGAAGCAAGGAGCGCCTGCAATAGATAATTCGAAAATTCTTTTTTACGTAACGTACTTGTTTACCTTCCCATAGTAATGTTCACATTGTCGCCATTTTTAAATATATAGTAAGCTGATCGCGCATAGTTGAGCCATCCCCTGCAACAGGTCAGACGGTTACGCATCGAGTACTGCTGACGGAAGTAGATGGCCTAACCTTCAACAAAGTTTCGCCTGACGGGCGCTGGGAAAAAGCAGATCTTATGGAGAACAAAAAAATTAGGCTTGCTGGGTTAAAGATCACCGTGAATAAGTCTAAAGGGTAGTAATGCGTATGAGGCTAACTTAGAAATAGTTTCTTTCTATCTTTATCGCAGCGACATTCTGCTTCAGTGATTTTCGCGCGACGAAACCAGTACTCGGATCTTCTGAAGTTATCTGCTTGTCGCGTACATTGTCATGTGTGGCTTAGCCATATCTATATCAGTACTGTTGTGAAATCAGTACGGCTCTATATCTGATTTGTATTTCGCAAAGGATATTATTTAACTTCAAATTAGGCGAAGATAAATCCTACCACAGCTAAAACCTTTATACTTGGGGTTATCGATCAGTTAAAACGAGCTTGGAGTGCGTAAATGGGTATGATGGAATAAATAGTCTTAGAGCTAGAGGTGAAGGGGTGTAAGCTAGAATTCAACACCAACGTTCTACGTCGTTTTAATTATAACTTAATGGCTCTTTCTGAACGTTTCATGTAGAATAGAAAGCGCCTAAGTTCACTATACATGCATGACAAATTTCGAGACAGTTTTATATAGCAAAAGAATACAACGAATTTGTTAAACTCATGAGTACCCGTAGGGTATATGTGTTTGTAATTCAGAGTGTATTGTCACAACTAGATCAGGCGAAAAAACAGCACGTAAAAACCACCACACCTTATTTGGCCCGCTATTTTTCAAAAATAAACGTTTTAATGGCAAGTGACTTATTCCAATAACTATACTACACAATGCAACTTACTTCCTGAACATTACCGAACCAAGTCTTTGCCTTTCATAACGTTACCTCAATGTCCCCCTCAATAGAATTCTAGAGGTGTTGGCGCACGCAAATAAAATTTCTCTCCCAGCAGTTTCGAATGTCTCATTTTCAATATAATTATTTACTGTAACCCATAAAGTACTAAATTAGTATGAGTCTTTTTTTTGTCGGAATTCATAGCGATTTTAAAAAGGCTAGTTAATAGAGAATATGTGTTCTGTGGTTGAAGTGAACCTCTTATGTGATACTAGTGCAGTTTCAGGCGTAAAACTCGAAATACGTATTTACTTATGATCGAGACACGGGACGGTATTAATGAGCAACTATTAAGAAAAAGAGCGCCCTGCATCAACGACGTTTGGGGTGTCGATCTGAAGCGGCTTTCACTGCTGATCCTGGAGCAAGAATGCCATCAATTTCATTTGAGTGAATGGATGAACAAGCAAATCGTGGTTCTTGAAGTTCGTATATTTGGTCTTATGGTCAAGCATATAAAGGATCCTGGACCCAGCGATGCTGACGTCTCGCAGTTGTCATGAACTATGTAAGATATTGCCGTTCTCTGGAATCGCCTCCTTTATTATGATGCTGAAATACACCTATTACATTATTGTGTAAAATCATATCCGCTGGCCTTTATCTTTTAAAATGAGGACATTGTATAACGTATGACAAAAACCTACAAAGGTTATTAACAAATGCAGTGTGAGAAGCTAGAACCACTCAGCCACGAAAAAGTTCTGCGCACATCTTCTAACTACATGTTATTGTATAAGCTTTTAGAGGTCTAGCGAACACGTTTGTTTATGTTTCCTTATAGCAGAAAAACATTATGAGAGAATACTAGTTTAATGTGTTGTTTCATTCAATCTGATATGGGATTTGGCATGCTGGGCTAGTACATTCAACACTTTTTATAATGGTTAAATGTATGTTACCTGTGGAAAAGATGCCTCTTCGACATTCGGTTTCCTTTACGTTTTTAGAATCAGCTCATTTGCACTCGTGATACTGCAGTGGTAACACGTTTATTGACCTAAGCGAAACATAAGACGGTTTAAATAGTTCTAGTGCAGACATGCTTTGACTTCATAATAAAATTTGTGTCCTGGGAAAGACAATGAATATGTCACAGATAGAAATTATATATATATATATATATTTTATTCCTCTTCTGATATGCTTCTGAAGCGACACCAGACGGCGGTATCAAGCATATCGAGAAAAGGAAAGCAAAAACTATGTACAGACACATCTTTCGTATTTTTTGGTGCTTTGTGTAATTTTTGCCAATGGTGGCCGGAAAGTTTGGCTGAAATTTTACCTGTCGAAAGCAGGAGGTCACACACGATAGATTGCAACATGCAAGCAGCATATTTATAGGGTGCATATGATTACATGTGCTCTATATGGACAAGCGGTTAAGTAACGTGGAAAGGTCGTGGTCCTGAAAAAATTAATTTCAGCATACGTTTTAAAAAAGGTGTAATCAATTAGGAAAGCAGTTCTCGTCCCTCCTTACTAACATCCTCACCAACTTCTCCATCTAGTGAAAATCGTGCATAAATGTCGTTTTACCAGACATATATTGTTTCATCGTAGATTTGATACAAATAATTGCGGTTATCGTCTTTTTCTTTTACAAAAACGGTTATTTAAGGGCCCAATTCGCACGAGAGTGTCACACACTGTACAGTAGAGATGCTGTACCTTCTAGGATATTTTTATGTCACCTTATCGAGAATTGAAAACTAGTAGTTCTGTCTCCGTTGCCGCACGTCTTAAGCGCCCGCGGGGAATCTGTAAAAAAAAAAAAGTCGTTAATACAGCAACTGAGGATATGTTAGAAAAGCCAAACCTTTAAAATTCTGGCAGATTGCAGTACATCCATATGCTACTATCTAGCTATGCTATACGAAGACATCGGTGTTCGGTTTTATAACATTCAGTTAACCCAGTAGCTTATGCCCACAGACTATGGGAAGGCCGAAGAGCAGCTACAGCGTAACCCTAATTTAGCACTGAAAATCATAACCTCAAAGACGCTAACGTGACTGGACAGATGAACGAATAAAAGTACCGCTTAAGGGTATGATAGAACCAATAAATTATTTTATTTATTGGTTATTATATATTGCATATAGCAGACAGTCACTATATGGAGCTAAAGTAACTGTATCGTGTGGGCGTTAGGTAAAAGCACTAATCGGATCGTTTTTTAATTAACTGATAATAGTCCTTTTTACAGAAATATGTTCAAAGGTACTCTGTCCTCAAAAAACTGGATATGTTTGATCTTGATACCACTGGCTCCCAACAAGACGGTCCTATTTACGATTGCGCATTCAAAATACAGAATTTTTTTTTAAGAAAAGCTTGGTGAATTTGCTTTCGCGCACCCTTATTATGGCCGGTCCGATGAAACGCAGAGCCTTTTTTTGAAAAGTAGCACTTTGTCGGGTAGAGGCCTGTATAGTTGGCGGGCTAAGGAAGTATATTCCTAAAAAGAAGTTGCCAATGACTTATATGACAAGATCGCCGAAGACTCTGTGTTTCATTTTGATCTTTTAAAAAATCCCGACGTGTTAATATTAATGTTATAAGCATAATGATGAACATTGCCAAAAATAACAAACTAATGTTGTTTAACAGTTCAAAATCAATATATCGGATTAAATAGGTTACCCTATATAGAATGAAACCTACTCTTTGCGTTCAACTAACAAAAAGACGCAATTATCTCTAAAGCACAAAAGCCAGTTATATATATACAGTATTTGGTTTTACCACTATAGTTAATTCATAACGCCTTGTGACCCTTAGGTGTTTAACCGATTTTTCTAATTATTATCATAATTGCAATGTTAATATTACACTTTTCCATAAAGCTCAAGTTCACACGCTATGGAACCGAAATTGTGTTTCTTCAACTGTTTATATTATCCTTTGAAAAAGTCAAACATGCCACTTATAATCGTATCTATCGATACGCCAACCTCAATGTATTGCGGGCGAGAATCCTTTAGCTGTTGCCTAAAACAAAGAAAATTGATAGAAAACAGTTTAAATGCTTCTTCTTTTAGGACGCAAAGTAAGGCATGGTAGAACTCCCATGGTTCCGTTAGGTTTTCCCAAGCTTAGGTTTTTTTTTTTGGGGGGGGGGGGGGGGGGGGTAGTACTTATGATATTGTCCTTGAAGAGGCAAATCTCGAATGTACTTAAGCTTCTTTCTTCATTTCAGATATAATGGACGCAAAAGTCCATTTGAGTCTTCTGATAACGTTTCTTTACTCTAGGGTTCCGTTTTATACGACGCTACCGTTGCTGCGTTAAATGACACCAGAATAAAAAAAAATTAACTTCAAGCAATATGAGTCTACACCGGTACATCGTCCTCGATATATGCTATTGGCTCTATGTTCCTGATTTAAACTGGCCCTAAAGACGGTCGTGCGTCAAACGATGCCTTCACTTCCGACCAAGTACAGTGTACTCAATGTCCGCGATTAGTTAAATTGACGAGACCATGTTAGTTGTTGTTTTCCTGTACTTTTCTATTCGGTAATATTAGTATCAGGGCCCCTTTGCTTTTGCGTAATTCAAATGCAATATGTCTTCTAATTTCTTTGTCGAATTTTGGCCTTGGGATTAGATGACTTCACTGCCGTGACAACGATTTCGTCAGTAGGTACTATGTCAGAATAGTCTTTCTGTCCGAGCGCAACAAAACAATTTTTAAACCGTTTTGTAGACGCGGGACGTCTGCATACGGGTTATGGGCCAGTAATCTCGCATGATATGCGTTCAATTATGCGGTGAGCAAACTTAATTTTCTATCGCAAACTCAACTTGACGGGTATGTTTGGTGAGATTACTTCAGTCCAAAGGAATACCAAGTTAACAGGCAAATTTTAGTAAACACTTTTTTAGGCGGGCACAAAAATAGGTCTACAGCATTTTAGACACAGGCGATGTCCTTGTGCATGGCTACTATGTATTAGTGTGGGCTGAAATTAAAGAAGCTGCTTCTCTTCAACAATGATACCCGATTGCATATAAAAAGTGGAAGACGGTTCGTTTATATTCTCCGTATCCGCAAGAAAAGGGAATGGTCTTTGCTAATGACACTTACACTACCCGCATCTAAGCGAAGCGACAATGTACTTAATGCTCATTATCAAACCGAAGATTGTAGCTACTCTATTAAGCTATAGTAAACAATCCCAGACTTCACTATCCTTCACAGGCTCTAATTATTTCCAGGTTATCTATGTATCGACACGGTAGGACCGTATGGAAGCTACTTAGCTTCCTTTCTCACAAAGGAGCGCTGGTCTAAGAAATTAGTACTATCAAATTTGCATCATTCTTGTAAAAGCATTGAGTGGTATTAGGTAGTCATTCTGATGACTGTATGGACAAGATGGGACTATATGGGCACCGCTGCCTTTCGAGCACATACAAGATGTTAATTCAACGGAATCATTAAAACAAGCTCATCAGCCCAAATACAATTTAACCTCAAGGTAATGCACATATATATTTAAAGGTAAATAAAAATATCGTTTTTTTTTATACTCGATGCGTTGGATGCCTTATTCTCTGCAACAGGCCACATGTAATTGCTTTTGTGACCACGTGACACGTGCATCGTATTTCAGATAGTCGAAATGAAGAATCGCAATCAACCCTGGGTAGTATTTTATATCGGGACACTATGTGTTCAGGCAGGCTTCAAAGGGTAGAGCACGCGATATTCGAATCTTCCCTCATATATTGAGCTCACTTAGCTGAGGCGTAGCAGTATCTGAAGCGTTCAACGTCCGGTGTCTTTCTGTGTAGGAAGAGTTCATTTTTGGTTAAACAAAACCTAGTTCTAGGCGAAATACGATTTTTAACTTACTTAGCTTAGTAAAATATAACTATAAAACATTGTCTGCCTCACTTTCCGTCGTAGAATGATTTATTTTTTCGTTTTAAATCCTCACTTTATTTCATGTAACATCACTTCATCGGGCCGTGTGGATAAATTTCATAAATGCTTTTACGGACGTTTTCGTAGACATTAACAAATCATGTTGTTCTATTTTACATCAAAGAGGATAGAAACAACCTTGGCAAACGGAATGTTTTTCCCGCTTCGATACCAACTCGCTTTCAGTGATTGCGTTAAGTCGAGTTTTTTGATCAGATGGCCCCTCTGTTCCCTGCCTGTCGTAGCAGACTAACTCCGTTCAAGCGGGTTCAAGGCTTTCGGATATAGATCTATTCAACAGAAATTTCCAAGAGCATCCAAATGTCTTCACGCATATTCTTGTTTACTAGGGAATATCTAGCTTCTTTCCCGTTGACTTATAAGGATATCAAAAGCCCTACAATGTCCCGGAAGTCGTATTTCCTCAGTGTGCTCCGAAAGGTAATCCTTAATATATCGTTTTCTATGTTGGTGGCATAAATAAAAGCTAATAACTCTTTTTACGAATACGATAATTTGTCATACGAGTCAAATTAAGAACAGTCTTGTCATAATTTTCAAGCGCGCAATATGCGGACGTTACAGGGAGACCGGTATCGTTAGCAGGTTTTTATTGAGCTCACGGATCTAGAATACATTGCGCGATACAGATAAAGAAATATGGCTAGGACGATCCACGAACGGCTCGTAGGCTAGTCGTATGGCTAGACAACTGTCACAGAAGCTGGATGGGTAGGCCCATATTATTCCGGAACAGTACTGAGCGGCGAACCTGAGCGCGCAGGTAACCATTGTTAAAACTACGACATTTAACGCTTATAATCCTATTCAGTTATTTATACAACACTTAGTGTATTTTGTTCCTTAGAACGTGTATTTTCATGTAGCGTCACCGGAATAATTGGACCAATTATTACCTACGCATCCTTTTTACTACAGTTCATTGGATTTGCGCATGAGGGGTCACGAAGGACGTTGTGGAACTTTTGTAATAAATCATGTTTATTGTGAAAGGTATATTTCTCTAATTTTTACGAACTAGAATAATTAGACTAATTATAAACAGTGCTCTGCGGTGCTCGCGCAACGTCCACGATATCGGTGCAAACAGGCGCCATATGTGGCGGATGGTTTTTCGTGTGATTTCATATTGAGCTAAAAAAAAACACGTCGACGTCTCGATTCTAGTTCAGCGGACCTGAGCGTAATAAATTAGTTCAAGCGTCGTCGTACGTCTACATTTTACAGATGCGGCACACCTGGTGAGCTATTAAAGCTCAGGAAAGGGCTTTATAGTTGAGGCATAAAGTGAAATAGCTCTGATAGGATATAAGATTTATGAACTTTAGCAGTTAGGTTGGGTCTCCCCACCGCTATCCTTGTTACCAATGTGGCGTTTCTATCAGACGATATTAAAAAAATTATAGTGATTTATTGAAATTTGTACACAATTTGCCGTATGTGCGCTGGGATTTGCGTTTCCGACAAAATTGTTCATGGAAACAATTGTTGAGCAAGTCTTGTTCTGGACGAGTTGAGTCTACTGGACCCATTCTGATAGTTCTACATAATAGATAAGTTGGGTAATGAATTGAATGGGGTAATTCTATTAATTCTCATAAAGATTTCTCTAAGCCTACTCTAGTGCTGTGCTTAATTTATCAGGCGAGTGAATTACTTACTCTAAACAGTTTGCTGGGTTCTTTTGTCTTTTAGTTAGGCGATGCTAGTACCACTGTCGTTAGCTTGTCAGTGGAGTATTAATATCAGACTGGTGTTTCCCTTCATCACGGTCACAAAAATAACCTTCCAAGTCTTTCTAGTAATTACAGTGTCTCATGAAAGGCATAGGGCGTAGTAAATGGTCCTTAAACAGAAAGAATTTTATTTGCCACCTCATAACTGAAAAAAAAAACAATGCCCTTTGATGATTAGACAATACGGATTCGTCCATTGACAGATACAAAGAAGATTTGCACAAAGTATCTATGGAATGAAGACTCGTGAAGTATTTCAATGTAACCAAACCGAGCTAGCAAGTTCTAACAGCTTCTGCTATCAACAACTCGTCGACATAATTCTAGATATAAAACTAATAATATCCATATCGAAAATTCGATTTCGTTAGCTGTTATTTAAAGGTACGGTGTCATTGTAGTTCGCCATGTTGCAGCGTGAAATAACGTTATAAGTCGATGTAAGATGCGGCTCTTGTGGGACTGGTTGCGGCACACGAGTGCGTGCGCAGAAAGACGTTACTAGAGATATGGGTTTTCAAGGAGCGATTAGTGCGGTCCGGATAACGCTATGTACCAATCACATGCACCCCTAACCCATTCGTATTGCGTCTTTCAACTTTGTATGGTAAAACGAATATAGGTCAAGCTATTGTATCAAATATGTCTCTTCGACTGAATTTTTTCACTCTCAAAATCAACCTTCAAAACTACGCGCATTGTTTATCTGCAAATTTTTAGAAAAATTACAATCAGATATTCAAACTTGTCAGTAAGAAATTATTCAGATTATCTATGTACTTTGACACGAGTATGCGACGACTAGAACATCAAACCCTTTGTCTAAAGCTACCTGTTACTCATCTGCTTCGCATATTAGTAACCTCAACCTTACCAAGGCGCGCAAATCAATTTTCTTTATTTCATCCTCCTGCGTCCCCATTTTAACATTTCACAAGGTCACATACTGATCCATCACTGAATGCTCAATTTATAATAGTACCTATTACATACATAGCTCAATACAGTTTAATTAGCGGCACATGTTCTTGATTTCTGCGAACTTCCGTTCCTACAGAAAACAAGTTACGTCCTTAGAGGCGAGGTCGGTGTCGAGCCAACCGCTTATTCAGGACAGCCTGCAGACAATAAAAATGTCAGCTTTTCTGTTTCCTGCGAAACCCTCGACCTCTTTCCAGATGACGTTCTACCACTTTTTCAGATGACTCGTTTTTTCCAGAGCTTAACCATAAAATGGCTTGGTACTAGGTTTTAAAACATCCGGTCGACCGTTGGACTGGTCATTGTCCTGAGAGGCCGTCTGCGTTGTTAAGACACACAAGATATTAGCTCAAGCCGTGGACAGTCACTAGAAGGATAAGAGAGCGCGTTTCCATACAGTGTACTTGTAGACTCGCCGGATAAATCTGCGGCGATGGTACCAGGCGTGACGCCTTTAAAGATCGTACTCATAGTGGCTAATAAATAGAACGCTATTTTTTTGTTGATGACGAATACATCGACGATTGTTGATGGTAGTGTCCTTCGCTTACGCAACGCGAAATTTGGCCGGAATCACCTGGGTGCGCACGGGGCATTATGTGCCTATATCATGATTACTGACTAACATTAATTTAGTTGTGATATTTAAAAATTTTACAGATAGACGTATTTTTAGTAAAAAAAATTGTAAAAAAGGAAAACGAATTTAAAATACATATGTAAAATAATAAACATGAGATTCGTTGAAGCTTTCGAGGCTAACATGCCATCAAAGCTAGTAATTTTGAGTAATCTTTGACAGGGGCCAGATTACCGGAAAACGCTCTTCCAACGTGATTCGGAACTATTAATTGACTAGAGGTACAGCAGGTTATAAGAATGAATGAAAAAGTTTGACGATGAAAGCCAAGAAAGACTGTAATTAAAAATCAGGGCTTTTGTTGTCACATTGGTGACCCATGCGTGCATTTACTGTTGCCTATTTAGACACATAGACTGAGGCATACCTGTGAACATCCAGACATTCAAGTGAAGATCGGCTATGAATTTAAAGAGGGTTAGGTAATTCTTCAACACAACTATGCTTATTTTCCTTTCAGCGTTACTCACCTGGATCCTAGCTGATTCCGCAGTTCACCTTCCGTAAGATTAGGGTCACTCCTGAGTGTCGTATTTCTAATTTTATCAACTACATTACATTTACCCAATCCAGATTCACGATGTCTTTGACCTAACCGCTGATCCGTAAATTTACCCAGCCGAGAAGTCGCCCGTACCACCTTCGTCCACTCTCGTGTGCTTTGACGGTACCGATTGCGTCTGTTGCAAGTCTTTTGCTTTGGAAGCATCACATGTAACAATGAACCAATCGAGTTAGCTTTGTGAAGAGGGTCGCGACATTTCCATTTGCGTTCAGGTAACTTAAGCGTATGAGAGTGAGGCGGCTGTTATTTTGGTGCATTCGAGAAGTTCAAGTTCTAGAATTTTGCGCCCTTTGATAATAGTCCCTTGCATTTTGCTACTGACGCCGATCGATTTGGCAAAACGTAAGAGATGAACGAAAAAGTACACGCCCGCTGTTGGTCATTATTCCGCATAGGAAAAACGAACCTATCATTATGTTATACCATCACCCAAGGCGTGTCCAACATTCTCAATAATTATTGAAAAGACTTTTCATCTTCAACATGGTAGCGAAATAGGTATTCTATATCCACTAGATCACCGATTTAAACACTGCTATTATTACCAGGCTTTTGTAGCTTTTTGTAGACCAAAATTATATGCATTTTTAGTTTTCCGTTAGTCTTTAGTAGGATTTCTTTTAACTGATATAAAGTTCCCTCCCTTAGGATAAAACACTCCTTCAGCGACTACAGGCACTTAAAATATATATAACAACGGTATCACATATTTGATAGACCTCATTGTTAAGATACAGACGGGTACAATAGTTTGTCGAGGTTCGATAAACATCTCCAGAAAATGTGACATATATACAAAAAACGCAAGCAGTTCGCATATGTAGACTTTCATCGACGACAAATTTACTTTCGTGTATTTCTACTAAAGCGAAAAAATTATTCACTACATAGAACATTTTTTAATAACCAAATTCATACAATGAATAGGTCTGCAGTTGTTTTTATCCGATGAGATTATGATTCACAAGGTTTACTAATTCAATCTACGTTTTGCAGTAGTTATTAGACTTTAAAAGTTTGAAAAGATTTTAGGCACTATTGTCTTTTGCATCCATAATTCCCAACCCGTTTATGGTATAAAATACCATATACTATATTACATAGCCAGGTTCCTTGATACCATCCTGTCGTCTTTATTCTTTTATTTTTCATCGCTGCTGCCCTCTACTCACAGTTTCGGCCTCTGTCTGCCGGCCGTAACTGTTGCCCTTGGCTTCGTCCGTGGGCACTGCCGTATGTCAAGCTAAGATGGGCTTGACGTGGGCTTCCCTACAAATTGATGTTCTGTTTGCTTGTTGGATATACTTCGGTTCTGTGGGGATACGACATGGGCGCAGCATATGCTGTTGCGGGACTTCTCAAGGTGGCAAGAATATTTAGGCAAAGAAAGGGGTCGATATTCCGGGAAAAGGCAATGGCGTAATCCAACTTCGCGCAGTTTCGTATAGCGCGCGTTTCCGTCTCCAGATCACCATCACAACCGATGCTTCCATGCGGTGCTCAGCAAGCTACCATCGCTGATATTGAAGACGCCCCGTTACCGCCGTTGTTAATATTACAATGTCTCTTTGCTTATGGACTTTACCTTATATCTATCATCAATGAATATTTGATCCGATGCTCTGTAATTGCATTAGGATGCGACAGAAGGCCTGTAGGGGGGGGGGGGGGGTGGTCCGAGAGGGGATAAAGACGAAAAGCTATGAAAAGTTCGGGTCGGCGTACGCAAACCAGTAGAGGCCAGCGGCTCGACAGGCGGCTGGCGTTGAAACCTTTCCTACAATTTCGTGTTTGCTTTACGTTTTTAATCGCTACAATGTCAACAGTTTGTTAGATCTCCAGCTCTCGTTAGGCTCTAATAGGCAGCACGGTACAGGGCAACGGCATGCTGGTGACGGCGGGCAAGTCGACAAGGTACGAGTTGCAATCAGATCGTTAAGCGTATAGTGAATGCCCGTTGGAAGGAAACTAGGAAATAGGCATTCGCAATATTCACGATAAATACGGTCACTGTTGCTTTACCAGGCCACCAGCAATATCGTAATAGAGGTCAGAGTTGTTCGAGTATTCATGTCTATCGAGTGAGGGTCGTGGCAGCCAAGGTGGAAAAGTAACGCGGAAAAATATATGTTATCGCACTCATATGCAAATAGTAGTCGGCATTTATTTAGAATCAGTATTTTAGAGGCAGTTTATACTATATTAATAGCTTATTAAACATATGTAATATGGGGGCTGGTAAGAGTGTATCTTTGGTACAAAAGTATACTTTGTAACAGATGCTTTTGTAAGTCTATATAGAAAGATAAATTTCTTGACCTGTGCACGCACATGAGGGATGGAGTAAGCTAAATTTTAGCGAATTGCATCGGCTTTAGAACCTCTTCACCCTGATTGTAATTCCTCTATCTCACAAAGTAAGTGATTTTTAGAAACCTGGATCTTAGATCACGCACTTAGATTGGTCAGCTTTCAGTTAGGTGTGATATTTAACCTTCGTCGACGCTACGGACGGTAGCATGGTTCATCGTTGCCAACAGATAAAGACAACGACAGTGGCGTGAAACACACTCTTAGCCATACGGAGGATAAGTTTTTTTTTTGCAAGGCTTTGTACATAAGCCCAACTGACGAAAATTATGATATATATATATATTATTTCAATTGCTAGCATCACGATAAAGCTAATATTGGATACAATTTACGTGACACTATCAACCATGTAGAAGGGCGCCTCTCTACATGAACGATACAGTTTCTATGAGAAGGCCAAAATCCGTTTTCCAATAGAAGAAGAACAACACAGGTATTCATGAAGTAGTCTATTGAGCTACTGCTCCTTGCTATATATGTTGCTTCTGATTATTATTAAGGTTATTCTTATAACTTTAAGCGAATTATTCAATGACGCCCTAGATGGCGCTATTTTTAAAGAGAATTTCATTAACTTAGTTTATATACGATTACCAAACTAGAAAGAATGTCTACCAAGTGTAAATCGGGTGTGGCTCCCGGCCGTGACCGTTGGATGTAGTTCCATCAAAACTATTACTCACGAACTTTACTTCCTCGATCAAGGTTTACACCGAATCAGCCCAGAACTTTATCTGATAATACGACAGGCTGATGGCAAAGCGTCGCTAGTAACATCGTTGATCGATCCGGAGAGGAGTTACCTTAGTCAGACGTTCTCACATTCTGAAACGGGCTAGCTCCCTGCGTAAGGGATTAACCTTTTTCGTGCATCCTTTAAACCTGATTACAAAGCGTCGTTTGTCGTGACGTACAGCCGTAACTTCACGAGCCGATTCTTTTTCATTCAGGTTTTCTCGTATTAAAATTTATTCCCATAGCTGCTTCTGATTTCTACTTCTTCCAGCATGACTGATAATTGTCTTTGGCTTCGTTTTTTTTCATATGTCTGTCCCAGTTGAACTAATGTTCCCTGGTCGTTCCGCCTTAAGTCCAACGGCCATCTTTATGCTCCAGTCATTTTCCCCAATGGTGAATCTCTACAGCAAGAACTCATTCAGCGCTAAAACTAGGCGAGCCTTTACATTTCCTAAATTTACTGCGAAAATTTGTTTCATTCATCTTTTTCGAGGATCCTAAATATTTAATCGTACTAAAATGGAGGCCTCAATCACCTCTTTTGATTTGCGATTCAAAACGAAGTTCAAGTGAAATGTACTTGCAGTATTTGAAGCAGGATTGTATTAACGGACTTAAATGTGGCACACGTTACGCGATTATAATACGTGAACGCGAAACGCTTTTGGTTTATTTCAATTGAAGGAGGACACCCCAATTCCGAAAATTTTCAATTTTTTTTTTTATTCAAGGGACAAACATCTAAACTATTATGGTCAACATTGTTATGGATTGACAGGTCATCTTGTTAAATAGGCTAGATTAGCGATAATCAAGAATTGCACGGAAAGGTAGCAGTACAACCCCAGTAGTTTTACACTGAGCCATAGTAGTAGTAGTAGTAAAATATTTGACGCGCATTCTTATCACTCACCCCCGACCGTCGGACGATATTTCAGGACGATATTTTTTTTTTATCTTCTTTCACATCAAAGGTAACGCATTGTTTCATTTTTTTGGAGTGAATTTGAATACTCGTCAGCTTAGTCGAACTTAAGCCATACATTTAAATTATCTGAATCGTTTATCGAGGACTGATAAAACGTGTTTTGTTCGACCCATCTAGAATTTCTCCAACAGATTAAGAAGGCGACAGAGTGATCATATCAGCAGTTTTAAAAGTATTTTTTTGCATTTTGTCGAGTTAAAGGCGTGCACGTTTAGGGCCTTAGTTGTAAAAAAAAAAAAAAAAAACAGGTTACTTCTTTTAGACACACCAACAACACAAATACTACATAGTGTTCGAAAATTACTTTATAGCATTATTTGTATCTATATTACTAAGAAATATAGCAGTCTTCCCAACACAAAATACGGACAAGGTCGAAACGGCCCGACTCACTATTGTCCACCATGAATCGATTTATTTCCATCTATCTTAAGCAGACCTTTGTCACCAAATATCTTGGTCTATTGCAAGCACCATTACAAAACGCACAGTTAGAGCGATAGACAAACTCAATCTTATCATCAAAGGTGAATCAGCTAAATGTATTCGCTAATCAGTCGACACGATCGCATCGTATGTACCTCTTTTCATGTACAGGCCCATATGATCCTACCTAACGACCTGTGAGGTTCGCCACTGCTAACGATTCCGGATCGATCGAGTCAGATTATTTTATCAGAACCAATGGTGGTTGTGATGGTTAACCTTCTATCTGCAGTTGGTTTTGATTATGTAGCACATGTTCGCTTCGTAGTCAAATGATTGTTTTTCTGATATATATTTGTAGAAAGAAAAACGCCCGCAGGAAGAAAAACTATTTCTCGTTTTTTAAAGTGCCTCATACAAATGTAGCCCGCTCATATAAATGTTAGGATTCCAAAAAACAAGGTATTTGCACGAGCCTTAGAGATGCAGAAGCAAAAATAATCTGCGTATAATTTAGACAATGCTATTACCCATCGACGTTCAGGAGATGCAATCGCAACGAAGATATGAAATAAAGAAAGGTACTTTGTGCAGGTGCAGGTTGACGACCCAGCACATATAGCCTACTAGTATTAGTATCATTTATAATGTTGCAATAAGTCATACTACATTCCATTGAAAGACAGGTAAAAAAAATATTGAATATTTTCCAAGGCTCGAACGGTTTGAACCGAAAAAAGCATCTTTTTCCTAAATGTTCTTTGTGAAGAATCAATATAGTTTCTAGTACAATATGTTGGAACCGCAATGGCGTCACGAGAGTTATAGGAAAATTATCAAATTATTATTATGAAAAGTAACAGCCTAGTTCTGTACAAGGAAAAAACTTAATTAGGGAAAAAAGCGTCTGAGCTTATTGTGATATGAGCGCTAAAATGAAGCGATTCGTGACGACGGCCGATTCCGATTTACCAGCTAGATATCTAATAAAACTGCAAAACTTTATGTGAAGATGAATAAATACAAAAAGACTTAGAGGGTCTTGAAGCGTTTCTTAGATCTGCTTCCTCCGCCTACACGCCTGAGCACCTAACAATGTTCCTTGAACGAACTTTCGTTACGAGTTTCATAGTCTCACCTTATCTATATAGAGACACCATATGTTACTGACTGATAAAGCCTCAAGCGCATTTCACTAGCTATGCAGTAATAAAAAATGTTCCATAGCTGCCAGGGTTTCTCATTTAAAATAAATACCACTTTCTTCAATTACGCTGGAAAGCATCTATACGGAACGGATAAAATTCGCAGCAACGATCGCCAGATTACGTTTCAGTATGTCTGTCTTGTGTTTTATCATGCTGATTGAAGGAATAGGATTGAATGCTTCCTACGAACTGTTTATTGTACAGTGTTACTAGGGGCCCTGTGAAATACGGTCCTGGAACGATGTTCTGAGTTTGTGTCGTTTCAACTTGAAGAGAACGAACCCTCCAGCATAACTAGCAACCACATTAACTGATTGAGAGAAGGACTAAGAAAGCCAAAGTATGCAACAGTTTGAATAAAAAGAAACTAAAATACACTGATAAAAACTTGAAACAGGGTTCCAGAAAGTGCCGAAAGTTTACAGACCGTCTGCAAGAAACTATCCTAATGCGGTACAGGCCTTCATGTCCGGTAAAACGCCTTCGTAGACAAACTCTGGGAATGAAGCCTTAGCGCAAAAAAAGATCCAAGCAATCGACGAACGCGATCGGACCTGCGATACGTACACAAACAAACGAAACGTTTCCCCCTAGCGGATCTCAAATGCTATTGTGAATCAATGTTCTATCATAGAATGAATAAAGCTTTCCCGAATATGTGCGAGTAATCGTTCGCGCTACCTTCGTTGTGCCACGCATGAGCTATTGAAATAATTAATCGAACAAATAGAATGGAATAAACTATGTATATAGACATTGATAAAGCCTCAGCTTCGTTAAACAAAACCATTCAGGTGCAAATACCTAAGTCGGCTGAGAAGCTACGTAGTAAATTTAGGTATTGACAAGGACTATCCTTTCAGTAGGCTCTTAAAGAAGGACTCATCAAATTATGTTTCTACTATCAGTAGGCGCGACCCGTTCTGTGTGGTATCGGTCAAAGTGACCATAGACCCGGTAGCACCTTAGGAGTAATGGTTGTATATTGCGCCTATACAACTGGAAATTCGGTTGACGATGGAAATATGTAGTGTTATCTAAGCAGGTTTATCTCTAGTCTGATAGCCATCTCGTCACACTTGCGAACGACCTGGCCAACTGCATGGAGTCGCGGGTGACTCTAGTGAGAACCCAGACCCCTCTGTACAATAGAGCCTAACAGCAGAACATTTCTACTGAAATGAACTTACACTTTCGAGGGCACTTATCACAATGGAAGGTTTAGCTATGCTATCATTACAAGCAACATCAATCAAATGTTTATTTTGACAACTGCTAACTACATTACCTATATTGCCGTGAAAATTCTAAATCAGACGAGCACGAATATTCGGGTTCAGTTCGATAGATTACGAAACAGATTTTAAGACCAGAAATATATGCTGAAATACGGGAGTGGTACATATAGAAATTGATCTGGTCGTCATTTATAGGACATTTATGGCGTTATACGCACTGGAATTCTGCCATAGTTCGAACTAATGCAATGTATTGCCAAAACTAGTAAGCATGTGACAAACACACTAAATGGTTATTTCTGTCACTGTTAGGTCTAAACCCGGCTATTTTGGGTTGCCTTGTAAAATATACGTGTTGTCAGACCAATGTATCAGCTTTGACACCCAACGGCCACGCCTGCACGAACTAGAATTTATCACTAAAGACACTAACTAGTTTTCCATTCCTGATTTTCTAGTCGCCTAAATTTGAGAACGATTGGCTTTCAGTGTGCGCCTCGAGATCTTCCGGCGACCTTGCCAAACGTATCTGTGTCCGAATCAGATTTAGAGGCTTAATTCACACCAAAGCTTGCATCCGAATAATCAGCTAAAAACTATTTGGCTTAGTTTCAGGGAATGCGCAACTGAGCCACTCTGACAGAAGGGTCAAGAAATCTGAAGGACAATGGTGACACGAACGAATCTGGGGTATCGCTGCCCTTTTTTTGGTCCGTGTATTTTTCCAAGGGAGAATTGGAAAGATTATCGGGATTCAGGATAGGCTTGGTTGGATAACAGTCCGCGCTGGCTTCCGAATGACGCTCTGTATAATTAGATTGAAGCGGGGAGAAGAGCGTCCAATATTGGATCTCCGTGTCTCTAAAAGAACATTCCTATCGGAAACTGTTCAAGAACTACTTAGTGCATAGGAATCGCATATGGGACGACGCTGCAAACGGTATCTAGCAGAGAAAACGAGCGACAGTCGAGACGAACTCCATCAGTCCAAAAATGACAATATGTTATATACCCAGCATATCATTATCGTGTATCACTTAATGACAAGGAAAAATCGCTATGCGGTACGGCAGTAACACAAAGACAATGAATAAGCGAACGGAGACATTTATCGGCTTTTAAATGGTTATAGAAGTTATCAACGGTTCACTATTTAGATTAGCGGACAGTTGTGTATACGTTGCGGTAATTTTACGTCTTAGCCATTTGGTTGTATACCGTAGAGTGGATCAAATAAAAAGACAAAACTCGATAGCTTTTTTCTTAGTTATTCGATGGGTTGGTGACGCCCTTGAAATACATCTCACTGCACCGGCAATAGCGCCAACGGTGCAGTTTGCCAGGTGGTGATGGATAACAGAAACGAAGAGGATCTTATTTGTCTTTCGATAAACACGTTTCAGTGTGCCAATTGTGCGTGATCGGGATCTGGTCAGTGCGTCTCATTACTTCGGAATATGAGTGCAGTCAATTACTTACGATCTTAAAGGCTTCACTTCGAGTTGTCACAGCTGCTCGACCATGAAAAAGTTATTGTAGTCGTAATACAGTGTATAGGTATGTTTAATTTTCCAGCTCCGCTTGCCGTAAGCCTAGTAGCTTTTCACGTCTTAGACTATTTAGCAACTAACAGCTTTGCTGCTATTAGTCACTATAATCGCGCATCATGTACACGTGTGTCGACTGACCATTCAGACGACAGATCGTTCAGCTAGCTCATCGGGTGGTCAGGGTAGACAATGCATACGCCCTTCGGACAGCGGCGGTTTACCCTTGCCAATGGCTTCGTTGTCTGCTGGGCGGTCCAACAACCTCTCCATATTCGTAAACATTTCTAGGTTTCCTCGTGAGGGAGGAGGCTAAAGTAGTTAGATTGGGGTACCTTTCGCTTTACGAAATCACTCATTAGCAAGCATAATGCAGTGAAAGTATATGGGGATTAATGACTTAAGCAAGCCAATTGCGATAATACCAGTAACAGTTTTATGTGCTCTAAGGATTTCTCTAGCAAAATCCGGAAAGAAGGGATAAGACCATGAATAACGGTTATCAATTTAAACTCCTTCTACTGTTGTAGGTCATAAGCTCTGCTTTGATACAGCCACGGTTAACAGTAAAATTTGGTCCTGTATGGTGTCCTTTGGGAATAACATTTGACAGTAACCTTTCGAGCCAAAATGTATTTTTCGGCTACTACTGATAAATTCGCGATTTCTGACACCGCGCACGATGCCTTTAGTTCTGTTGATGGTCTCTGTCCATTTGGTCGTTTCAGTGCGTTCAGCGTAAAGACGGTCAATCCACGAGCAAGGTCAAAGGCACCTTGAAGATAACGGCTCGATGCTAATTTAACTATTGGTGACCTCAAGATATGACCGCCGATCGCTCTTAGCCCCGAGCATGGCCATCTGGGTTTTTGACTCAGTTACAATATTCTCACATCGCAAAAATTCCAAGACACTTTAACCAAAATATCCGAAACTGCGAAATGCCGGCGGCTATGTACGCGGAGGAACTTCCTATATACGCACTGTGCAAGTATGTATGTATTTCTAAAACTGAGGTTTTCAAACCCAATAATTCCGCGTTTGAGAAACCAAGTTAAAATACTAAGACGTATTCATGAGGCTTCATAAAGTAAATGCGTCAAAATATTCTAGAATATCTTAAAAGTATAAAATTGTAAGCTCATGGCAACATAGACGATATCTACATGGCCTAGGTTTTCAGAGTGTCTGTAAAAGCCTATCGTAATCCATCGGACAAGCTCCATCCTTTAACTTCTTTTCGGTCAGTCCGATGCCCCGGCACCAGATGTACCAGTTCTCAGTCTCTTGAAATAAGGTCAAAGCTAGGCCCTGTCAAAGCAATCAACCCCAAACCTAACAATATCGGCGTTTGTACAGATAGTCAAAAAGGCAGTAGATGCTGCTTTATGTTTTAGGTTTATTGACGCTACTGTGTCTAGGTTACAAATTCTAAATATTTTACCTTGATACAAAACGAACCCTTTCACCATAGAGCTTAATAAAAGAGTGCAATAATGTAACGTAAAAGACGTTTTCGTGTAAGATGGAAAATATTTCAGCCGTTTCGTTAGATAGTCCAACGTGGCGATGGCAGTAGCTGTTGACGCTAAATAGATTTCATCGTTCGAACTAAATGGTTTATAATAATCGTATAGCTTAGTTATAACTGATTTTTTATAGCTTGTTATCTCTATCTAAAATAGTCTGTCTTCGGGTAACGGTCAGGCTCAATAGGTCCTGTTAATTAAGCAAAACATGAACAGCTTCTAGTTGGTACTCTCTGCGTCACTCGGAATTCAATAGTAAAATATTTTACAGCCTCACGAACGCAACAACGCGGCCGTATGCAAAAAATCAATTTTTATCGGCAAAATTCAACCAGCTATGCTGAACGAGAACACAGATAGCCATTTATTAGACATCTCCTAACAAATAAAGCCCACGTGCTTAACAAATCCATGTTAGGCGACCTTTTCGAGCAGAAAAGTTCCTTGCTGTATAAAAGGTCAGGCCTGCCTAGATGAAAAAACTGCTAAAAATATGTCATCAATCTTAACAGCGGCAGTCCTGCACCGTAAACCTGATAATCTGCGCAAGTTGCCTTCATGTCGAACTTATTCTGCTACCGTTGGAAATTTATACCAGCTTTGCTTAACAAAGTTTCATCGTTCGATAAAATTACAGCATGGAATTGTTAGGCTCACCTGGATTAAGAGGACTCAAATTGCAATTATGATATTGCGACAGCAGTTTCAGAAGGCCTTTCGAAGCGGATTCTGTTTCGAGTCCTGCGACTCGTGAACGGAAAAGGATTTTTTGACAAATAAGATATGAGCCTTTAAAATCCACAAATTATCGCGCGGCATCAAGAATCGACCAAAATGGCGCTCTTTAAAAAGTTACTTTCATTATTTGGTATGATTTAGTGTCAGCGCTCTCTAACTTTGCTCTGCAAACTCTAAGCACTTTGCTTAGAGAGTCTAATGCTATATTTGAAAAGTACTCTGAAGAAATCTTTCTTTCTGGCCAGCGAATTACTGAACCTAGTTGAGAGATGTTTCTGCTTCGAAATACATATTTGACGCAGATCTCCGCAACACGCAGGCTAATTGCATTAGTTTTACAGGTATAAGTAACACTGCTCGCGTGTAACTTGCAATTTACTGGGGTAACACATGTTATATACGATCACATTAAACTGTTACCACTTTAAGGAAGAGACCTCGTTGGCAATTACTGAAAAAAATTGCTATGAGAAGTACCTACCGAACCAGAACAGAGCTTGTAGGAGTTCGCCAAGCGCTGCGTACCGATGACCGCAGGCGCTAAGACGATAAAAGCTGCCTAGGCAGGCCGTAGTTTGATTTAGGCTTAGAAAGTGCATGATAAACGGATATATAGTAGAGCAATGTCACACTGGCTTTCCAAGACTACCGGTCAAAGTAGCTGTTAGTGTCAAGTGGACCAACTTTTTCTCTGTAAAAGCTTGAGGCTTGCAGTGCAATCTGTACCTGAGTCAGGTCGCATATTTCAGTGAATATGTGCATACGTGTACATGGCAGGTTGGTTCTGTCTGCGCTTGTGCCGCTGGCAACACCAATAAGATGGCCGACTTGCAAGGTTTTTCTTCTGCTGAGTATATGGGCAGTGCTGAATTTTCGATGAGGTTTAAAATGCCGGTTGCTGGCCTCTGAGCGCATGAACAAGCATGAAACGCGCACCTGCTGACTTCGATGACTTGGACTTTTGATGACGATCATTTACAAACGAGTCATAATAACGATACTTTTAAATTTTTTTTTTATATCGACTATTATTTCGCTCTTTACAGACGATTGCCAGCGTGAAATACGAAATATTTACGGTACATACTGGAAATACTTTGCAGCGCAATATGTCAGCCTCAAACAATGCCTCTAGATTTTCCAAAGATAGCCAGTGCTCACAGTTGTAACTTCTAATCGTCTTGATCTCTTTGAATTTGATCTATTTGGGTGCAGACTCGTCTATACGCATGACCTGCCACGAAAAACACCTTATATGTTGGCATTCGCCAATTCGCACAGAGTTTCGCGATAATCCACGTATGCATTTATCTTGCTCACGATTATGTAATCTAACTACGTTATTACTGTGACAGGAGCATCTGGACTTGAGTTCCGTTTACTAGATAAAGCGGCGGTGACCTAACCACCATATAACCCTTATAACACGTATATTACTCTACTTTTTTCATTTTTATTCATTGGCTCTTTGACAGCGTTTTCCGATACAAAGTCGTCTCATCTTGATGCCTACAGTGGCCCAATTAATAGCGATCATTCATCTGCATTTATTGCGTCACAGATCGTGCACGAAAGAAAGCCAACATATGCAAATCAAAGATACATTCCATCGCGAAGTCAATACCCCGTTGCAGTCGTTCACTAAATTGATCGCTTCCTCGTCCTTAAATTACTTCAGTTACGATGCCTACTTGAAGGGCAACACCGTTCACGATTGAATCTCTCCACTGGGCCACTTCATGTTCCACAGATTTTTGTTAATTTATATTATATAAGGCAAGTGTTGCGCATCTTTTGCTAAAGTCAAGCCGCTTGATTAACTTTTTTTTTTTTTTTTATCTATAAAGAACTAAATTATCCGGAAGTAGAGCAATTAGCAGTAGCAGAACATTTCCTATAGGTACCTGGCAAGACGTTCACCCTGAACGCAATCGAGTGCCCCGCAACGACAACGAGCATATGGTACGAGTCACTCCAGTATTTAAAATTGAAATAATTTTTTGCTTCGTCCTTACACAATCCTTTGCCTAGTTGACTCATAGGCGTTGTTTTTCTAAATGTAGCCAGTTGAAAGTTACGTCGGCAAAGCAATGATGGCTTTACAGGTGCTATTTAGAACTAACTGTAATGCTAAGTGTCAATACCTTGTCGATATCCGACAATCACCCACTTCGTACCTTCGAGGCACAAAGTGCCATTGTTACATGAGCAATATTGCCATTGGGATTTTTTGGAACAAGAGATCGTGTCCACTTTGTAGAAAGAAATTGGGTCAGGCCATGCGGTTGCCTGTTAAACTGACGTTTACGAAAAGCCATAGCAATAAGGAGCGACCCTAAGTTGAAGCACCTCAGTAAAAGAAATATCTACTATAGTTAAAACCTGCAAGTCGAAGCAAGTCCTCCGAATGCACACTTTATGGAGAACAAGGGTACCTTTTCGAATGATGGATTTGAACGTCAAAACTAGGTAATTGCTTTTAAGAATCTAAGACAAATCAGTAAATCACTGAATTTCGACTGGAGACTGAAATCGATATTTGATGTTAGAAACTATAAGTCACAATGGTTATCTGATCTTTTAACCACTTGATCTTCTCGTTGTCTAAATAGAATGAGTAAGCCATGTACTATAGAAACATCTCTTCTAATCGTATTGAAACCACTTACCTATAGAGCAACAATTAAGGGTTCTTGAAGAGTCCTGCGACGTGACCAAGACTAGTACCCATGCTGTTTCACAGAGTTATCACCGTCTTGGGACACCGTTATCATACATGGACATTGTTGATGTTCTTGAAATGAATTCACT